AAAAAACGCAAGGGGGGAATGGAAAGTGGCCGTTTGTACAGGTGGCCGTCTTATAGAGGTGGCCATCAGGGTAGGTTTGACTGTATTTGCTTCCAATCAGCAATTTTGAATGAGGAAAGCAACAAAAAATTAATTTAAAAAGATGTTTCACTCAACTTGAGGTGCTCAACGAAATTTGTATGGGCACAGGCAGTGATGATTAAGAAGTAGATGACTCCCGCAATGAGCCTGGATTCCGATCAAGATCAAGTCTCCAGATCAAGAAGAAAGTGATGTAGATCTGGCAGAAGTTATCTCTTTGATCAAGAAGCCATTTCAGAGTATATCGATCTCTTATCTCTGATATGAATTGAGTCTGGACAAAAGCTTACTATGACATAATTGATTATAACACCTTAATGACCCAAACCAAATAATTTTTTTCAATGAGAATGTGTTATGACATTAATTTTTACCAAGCTGACAAAAGCCTTAATTATTTTGTTCTTCACAGCAGTTTTGAGAAAGAGGATTGTTTTGTCAGCATAACCATTTAAAAATAGAGTGATTCTGAAATCTGAATTCTAATTTATTCAAAATCTAGATCTAGATCTATATCAAGATAGAGTTTCACTTTAATTTTTTCATACCAGTAGATAGAATCTAGATCTCTAGATCTAGATCTAGAACTGATATTAAGGCTTTCGATTTAGCAAATTAAAACTGTTGGCACCAACAATAAAGAAAAAGTCATTTTGTCAGCTTATGATGGCAGATTAAGGAAACATACTTTAGACGAGTTGGTGAAATTCTAGGCTTATAACATAACTAGGGGCAGAGAAAACCATATTAGAGTAACACATATCAAAAAGTGGGCGGCAGCTCCAGTCCTGGGAAACTGAAAGTCGAAGGTTAGGCCACTCCCACACTCACTGTGCTAAAGACTCGCTCAAGTCAAAGCGTAAACGTTACAAAAGCGAAAACCTTCATTTTAGTGAGAAAATACTTCAAGGCGACGTAGGACACAACATGACGAACTACCTATTCAAATAGGGGATTGCTCAGAACTGTGGGAAACTTTCATATAACTCTGGACAGCCTTCGGCATCTCTTTCCTCACCCGATGTCAACAACGATCCGCCATTTATAAACTCCATTCGCGCGTGCGCACTTGGTTTGTTGCTAGGGCCTGAACTGACTGGCCCTGGGCAAAAAGTTTCCACCCGCTATTGAAACAATTACGTTGTACATCTACATCCACTATTCCATAAGATTATTATCGCCTAAAATAATCATGCGTTACAAGGTCAAGATATGAATTACATTTTGATGACACGCTTGCACTCTCGTTCTGTCTCCCACTCTCTGAATTTTCGTTGAGAACAAGCTCCTGCATGTTCGCTTTTCCCCTTCTTCCCCGCCCCTGTCTGTATTTTTTATATATCATTTAACACACACGCGCAAATACACACTAATAAGCACACAAATATCCACTCACACACACACACACACACACACACACACACAGACATACATACACTCTATCTCTCTGTCTGTCTCTATATCTCCCTCTGTGTCTTTCTTTTTCTGTGTGTCTGTCTCTGTTTGTCTCTGCCTCTCCCTCTCCCTCTCCCCCTTTCTCTGTCTCTCTGTCTCTCTGCCTCTCTATCTCTCTGTCTCTCTCTGTCTCTCTTTGTCTCTCTCTGTCTCTCTCTGTCTCTCTCTCCCTCCCTCCCTCTCTCTCTCTCTCTCTCTCTC